GGAAACTCGTCGCAAAATCCTTCAAGAATAGTACGCCCTTCGATCGCCAAAAAAAATCTATTGTTTTTCACGATATATATAAACTTTTAGTATAAAATCGTCCATTTGTTTTTCAATTATCATGAATTACGCCCCCACTTTAAAAAAAATCCTTGATCTGCCCCTGAATTATACTGCTGTCTTACCTTAAAGAAACACCGGTTGTTGCGCAGATGGACGAGAAACCTGTGGCGGGTGAATATAATGGTTGGTATATGATAGTAATTTTTACTCTTTTGTACCAGCACGATGCATATCATGTACCCTGCCTCTCATCACTGTGGAATTGTTAGCCTTCACAGGATATAACCACGATTTAAACATTTATATTCTTGCTGAATCAGAAGTCTATTGAATAGCCCGTCTAAATAATAATATAATGAAATATTTATTTGTCTTTATGAATATAAGTTTTGCATACCTTTACCAATACATTTACACAATGTGTAATCTTTTAATTATAGCAGAATAATAAGCCAATTGTTGACAAATTGTTAAGTATAGGCCATTTAAATTCTTTGTTTATTGTCAGAAAGATGTAAAGCTGAGATACCGTTACATTTCACTATGTAAGACATGCACAAGTTCATATATTACAATAAAACAAGATAAATATCCAAATTATTACACAGGGAAATGTCTTTTAAGAATCACTGCTCGCTTAGATTTTGATGGTAAGTTTATCTCCAACATATTACCATTTTAATAGAAACAAGGATCATTGGCAAACAAAAATCTATAGAAGGTCCTATACATTTAAGTTTTTATTATAATATTGCACTGAACGAAAATAGACAAGATTTAAAATACTATGGTCGCTTTTCATGCAATCATGTTCTTATTTTTTTATATTCTATTTTTTACATTTATTAAAACATTTCCTTTTGATCATCAAATTTTTATCTTTTACATTATATATTCCCATGCAAAATTTTTAAAGTTATGTGATTTGTGATGTAGAATATTTTTTATGGCGACATGATTACTATTTTTCTTAATTTTGTTTGAGTTCTTTTTTATTCGTCTCTTCTGCTAACGATTATAAAAGCTCAATAATTATTAATACTTGAATCAAAAAGATACAAACTTTTCTTCTTCTTTTTTTTTGGGTTGGGGGGGGGGGGGGGGGGGGGGGGGGGGACTGAAGCCACAGGGACTCGGTTAGCGGATATATATATGCTACCGGCAATTAGACATTAAGCTTAGTTAAATCCTAGGCAATAAGCTAACGCCTAGGCATTAAGTTATTGCCTGAAACTTTCAGGCAATAGGTTAATTTCCTGAAATAAGAACCATAACTGACCGTTTTTCTCAGTGAGAGTTGTTATGTGACAACTATCAAAAGTCATTATGAATTGGTTTTGTGACTCTAAAAAGAGTCCCTTTTTATACAAAATAGTTTTTATATTGATTGATCTGTCCTTGTTATGCAGTTTTCTGCCTGGGTGTAATTACTACATATATCTCTTGTTCAGCTTCAAAACTTTGAATTTTTCGAAATGCTAAGGAATTTCTGCCTCTGGAATAGATCGCCTTAGCTGTATTTGGCAAAACCTTTCGGAAATTCGGTTCCTCAATGCTCTTCGTACTATATTTGGCCTTTTTAACTTTTTTTATTCAAGCTTCGGTGATGAGTCTTTGGTAGACGAAACGCGCGTCTGGCGTACACAATTTAAATCCTGGTTTCTATGATGAGTTTATTCAGCACTAGAAACATCTCATTCCTCCTCTCAAATTCTAAGCAGTCGCGGCAAATTGATTTCATTTGGTTTCATGATTTTTTTTTCAACTGACTTCATCTACGATCGACTGAGCGGGGTTTGTAGCATCTGGTATCAATCTGATCTAAAACTGTTTCTTATAATGAATTAAGACTTTGATTGAACTTATGATCGGCTTCCCAAGTCAGGAGCTTGTAGTTCAGTATTTATAGTTGGTTCATGTCCAGGAGCTTGTAGTTCAGTATTTATAGTTGGTTCATGTCTATCATTCAGGAGCTTGTAAGTTCAGTATTTATAGTTGGTTCATGTCTATCATATATATATTTGTTTTCCGCAAATTGTTTTGTTATAAATTTGGCCGTAAGTTTTCTGGATTGAATTGTTTCATTTGTGTCGAGGCCTTTTATAGCATATACGGTATGGGTTTTTCTCATATTGAAGGCCCCACGGTTGCCCATAATTGCTTAAATCAACTTTATTTGAACTCTGTTGTGAATTAAAGAACCTTTGTGAGCGCGATCACATACCTCACGCCTCAACATTGTACATGGGCAACAAAATCTCACAAGATTCCTAATTTCAAAGACTCATAACCCCTACAAAAGTCAACTGATAAAAATTTCTTGTAGACATGAAATTCTGTTGTATGGTTTCAGAGGAGTAGCGGTGAGTAGTATAATTAGGTTCAAAGGGGCATAACTTTTAGAGAATCATAATTTCCTGTCGATATGCAAATATACATATGTACATAAATAAGGCCGTTAGATTTCTCGTTTGAATTGTTTTACATTGTCATTTCGGGGCCTTTTTATAGCTGACTGTGCGGTATGGGCTTTGCTCATTGTTGAAGGCCGTACGGTGACATATAGTTGTTAATTTCTGTGTCATTTGGTCTCTTGTGGAGAGTTGTCTCATTGGCAATCATACCACATCTTCTTTTTTATATATAGTATGTCCTTATTACCAGTATATACATAGTTTATTAAATTCTATCTGTGGTTTCAGAGAAGTTGCGATGACAAGAACTTGACTGACAGACGGACCGACGAACGAACGGGTCAAAAACATTATACCATCATCAACTATGTTGCATAGGCGGATCCAGGGGGGGGGGGGGGGGGGGGGCTGGGGGTCAGAATAATTTGGTTGATTATATAGGGAATCACTGAAGCATGACTGAAGCGGGCCCCCCTTAGGTCAGTCAGCGCCCCCCCCCCCCCCTTATGAAAAGTTGATCCGCCACTGTGTTGCATGTGTTATAACTAGTTGTCCCTTTTGCAATCATACCACATCTCTTTATTTTTAAATTGAGTAGCTTTACTAGTTGTATAATTAAGTTATGCTCTCTCATGGTCTGTGGTCGTTCTGTGATACTAAATATCTACCTTCTGGACTATTACCTATTTCATGAAGGTCTGCACAGATGGGAACCGAGCTAAGAAAGATTTATCTAAAAAAACCTGTTTTTGCTGAAAAACATCATAATTGCGGGGTCTTAAAAATGTAGAAAATTTGAACTGAAAATATATTAAAACAACAAAATTAATGTGAATAGCAAATTGTAAATGTATGTGTTTTTAGGTTGCTGGCTCATCAACATTTACCAAACATTGTCTGTTGTTTATATTCATGTTTAATTTATCATAAAGTAGTTACACACACAGAATTATGCCATCACATACACAGATTTTTCTTACGAGTCCTTACCGATCGCACAAATTCACAGATCCTTACGATTTGGTAGAAAAACAAAGGATAGGAGGTATCCATCCATGACACAAAATCAGTACATGCACAGCAAAAAGCACACAAAATGCAAAGGAACAGCGCTGTACTTCATCTTATCTCAAAGTCCAAGTGAGGCCTTCAACACAGAGCAAAAAAAAAACCAAAAAAAATTCTATACCTCACTGCAATTTTTAGACGGCATTAGCACCAGCTGGATACTTTAATGACCTGATTTAGAGATGTTACGAGTTATTAGGAGCTATTTATGGTTTATTACAATGCATTTACGACAAAATTCCAAGAATAGTTACGAATTATCACGGATAACTACAGACATTTTAAAAGCTTTTTACGAGTATATTACGGAATGTTATTATTCATCTGATCTTTAACTTGTTAGTTACAACCTTATTTCGTGTTGCTACGAAAAGTTTCGAGTATTTACCAGTCCTTACAATTTTGCAGCTTTTCTACCTTTCCTAATATTGTAAACAATACATAAGAATACGTAAAGTATACATATCTATTCCTAAAGAACTTATAACTACACTTAAAGTGCTTGTTATAACTAGTAACAATCCTTAAAGCCATTGAAACTCAACCCCTATTTAAATAGTAAGCAACATGTAACCACTCATAATAATCTGTAAACAAACTATAAACTAACCCTTACAAATTGTTTGGCTACTTACTTGGGACAGGTACATCAAAAATTGACCGGGTTAAGGCTAACTGTAAGAAATTAACCCTTCCCTTACCTTGGACAGTGGTGCAACAGCACAATATAAGAACTAACTGTTAAGATCAATAGGAACATTTTCATGACATCACAACTGACATTTTGTACTAAAGTCTCTAGATTATATCACCCTATTCATTTATTATTAGAACTAACACAATGTTGAAAGAAATTAAATAATAAATTCAACAGACAAAAAATCTCTGCTTGTTTTTCAAATAAATTTTATTTACAACATAAAAAATTGGATAAATATCTATAAATAATGTTAATACTTCAATTGAAAGTGAACAGAATTGAAAGACAATGGTAATCATCATAGAGATTAATAAACTGCTTCGCTGAGCGCAGCTGGATATGACAGCAGAGGTCCAACCCTGAACAGTTGGGGCAAAAATGGACACAATATTCAAGCTTGATACACGTCTGAATTTGGATTGTAATTAAGTATTTGACACATTATAGGTTTCTGAAACAGAATAAATGTAGTCAAAGAACTCAAAATTGGTTATATGATTTGAATTTATATTCAATTGAAGATTTCTTGCTTTTGTGCAATACACTGTGCACTGTGATGTTGTGCATTACTTAGTAAATCTGTTTTCAGACTATATACAAAGAATTAGCAATTGTGACCCCAAATTTTCTTTGGAAAATTGACAATTTCTTAAATCTTGCAGAAAAAATTGACCCCCTCCGGCCCTCCCCCCCCCTTTTTCAAAAAAAAAAAATTCTTTTTAATTTCTTAAATTCTGAGGATAAAAAATTGTCCCCCCCCCCCAAAAAAAAAAAAAATTTTTTACCCCCCCCCCCCCCCCCCCACTCTTCCCCTCCCCTTTTCCAACAAAAATAACATTTGAAGAAAATTTAGACATGAGTTATTGTCTGAAAACTAGAAAATGCTTGTTTTAGACCCTTTTTGGCCCCTAATTCCTGAACGGTTTGGGCAATTACCCCCAAAATTAATCCCAACCTTCTACTTGTGGTATTGAACCTTGTGGTACAATTTCAGAACAATCAAAATACTTATACACAAGTTATTGTCCTGAAACTAAAAAAATGCTTGTTTTGGGCCCCTAATTCCTAAACGGTTGGGACCATCACCCCCAAAAACAATCCCAACCTTCCTTTTGTGGTATTGAACCTTTTTGCTTAAATTTCAAAGAGATCCATACACTGAAACTTAAGTTATTGTCCGGAAACCAAATGTCTTCGGACGACGACGACATGATAGCATTATACGATCCCCAAAATTTTTTGCGGTAGTATAAAAATCATTTAACATGAATTAATGTTTGTTTTTCTTTTTCTTTATAAATTTTCCTGCATCCTCCCAAGTCAGTAACCTAGTAGGAAATGTCCACATGTTAATCTTAACGTTTATTTGTCATTTGGAGAATTGGTAGGTTGATTTCAGATCTTATGTTTTTGTTATAGATACCTTACTATTGTTGAAGATTGTATGTTGCTCTCTAGATGTGTTTTGGTTATATTTCTCTGCCTCATTGACATATTTTTATACCCCATATCTCCTTTTCTTCATATCTCTGCAAATTATACTTAACTTGATAGCGGGTCTACCAACAGGCCTGGGGAAAATTTTTTTTTGACTTATCTGTTTGAAAAGACTGCTTGATTTCAAGTAGAAAAAAAAAATCATGCATACAAATAGGAAAAGGAACATTCTTAAGACTGCTTGTACTTTACACAGTAACAATTTACCAGGATAGGACATCACATTATCTAGCTTTGATTTGGCACATTCTTAAGGAGAATTTATTTTCAAGTATATATATAATCACCAAATGTATACAACCTTATAGAATAGCCTTTCTACAATGTACAATATTATAGAATAGCCTTTCTACAATGTACAATATTACAGAATAGCCTTTCTACAATGTACAATATTATAGAAAAGCCTTTCTACAATGTACAATATTATAGAATAGCCTTTCTACAATGTACAATATCATAGAACAGCCTTTCTACAATGTACAATATTCATGTTGGTACCATACAGTTTAAAAATCACTCATATATTATAATTCCACAATCTGTGACCCTTGACTTTATAATAGTTTTTCATTTGCACTTATGAAATTGTCTTTGGTTTCAAATGTATCACTTATCAACATTTCTGTCTATTATCTTGCTATCACCAACATTTCTTGCTCTTTTTGCTGAAATGTTTAAATACTGATGTGACCCTGACATCTAAGACTGGTGGGTAAGCAGAAAAATATGTATATTATATGGTTTTGATTGAAAGACTTAAAATAGTACACCCAAATGTTGATATTGTAACATTCACTTCTTTTTGTCAGAGATGTTACATCTTTCTGATTCACATTCTTCTTTGTCTCTTCCAGTCATTCTGTATCTATTGACTGCAAACCATCTATAAAATCTATCTGAAGTCTCTTTGACACCAGGGTAGGATAACAGTTTAGATAACCAAGTTAGTCCAACTGCATTATACATAACTTTCATTCCTTCCATACTGTCATATATCTGGAAAACAGTAAGCAGTAACTTTATAAATACAATTCACTACTTGCATTTTCTAGGTAAGTCTCACAGAACTTTTAAACAGAGATGAAGGTATATTTTGGCCTTGATAAGTCACATTTTTTTATTATCTAAATAATTTTAGAAAATGTATACTGGTAAATAAATTAGTTGTTTCATGAGAAAATTTACAATGATATCATTAAAATGATGTTTTATGCAAATTATCAAAAACAATTTTAACAGAAACTCCAGGAACATTTTGTTAAGAGTAATATAGAGCTCAAGTTTTTATATAAAATAATATTTTGCCAGCAAACAATACTTGTATTTAATAATTAGCAAAGTCACCTCCTATGTGAATCTATTTTTTGGTGAAGTTTTCTTGTGTAACAATATTCAAATAAGTAAATCTAAATAGTTGATACTTCATATAACCATGATAACTTTGTATTGTTATGGCATCATAAATTGTTAAAAGGTAATGTTTTTTTGTGAACAAATGTATGTTTAATTTTAACCTAGTACATAGATTAAACATTTTCTGCAAACAGGGTGTTTTTTTTAAATAAGTTTGATCTGACACCAAAACATACATGTACCTTCTCCCTACAAAATAGTGATTTCATCAATGTCATGCAATTAAACATTAGGCTGTTGGTTTTCTCATTTGAAATGTTTTTATTTTGTCTTGTTAGGCTTTTACAGCTTACTATACATTAAGGATTTTGCTCATTATTGAAGGCTGTACAGTGAACTATAAGTTGTTTACATCTACATCATCTGGTCTCTTGTTGGTACATGTAGTTGTCTCATTGACAATAATACCACTTCTTCTTATTTTTATATTGATTATCCAACTGTCTATAAACATTTGACCACTGTGCTGGAAAGAACTGCTTACATAACTTATGAAACTCACTTTTGTTACTTCTGGTTTAGAATGAGACTCGGTGTTATTTGCATGTGTAACTATTACATGCATTTTACCCATAGCCTGACTATAAGTGATCCCTAAATGATCATCTGGCTTGTATTCTCCAACAGCTATATCCACAAAATTTACAACATTGTCCTTCTTGTTCAATTTCTTCATTAAGTTTATTTCAATAGCACATATAGGACACTGTCCATCATACAAAACCTGGAAAATGACAAAAATAATGTTTAGATTAAAACAAAACAAACTGAATTAATTTTTTTCTGTTGTATTCCTGTGTTATGGTTAAGATAATTAATCACCCAGTTCATTAATTACATTTTAGTTTGGGTCAACTAAATTTATACGATATATTTGGTTTACAGTTTGATTTAGAAGAAACACCGACATAGCTAGATAATACTATTAATTATCTAATTACTACCACGTTTTATATTAATTAGTATTGTAATTTTCATTGTTATTAATAAATGTTATACGAGTATTATAAACCAAATCTTGAATTCTATCCTAATTCTATCCTATTTTGGGGAAATTTCAGAAATTCAAATGTGACGTCACTTTTTTTGCGTTGATCTCTTTGGCTAACTCGGCTGTAAATTTTTATGTGCTGGTTTATGTTGTTTTATGTATCCGTTTTTATTCTGGAGTTAGTCACCACTTCGGTGTTATCATGTATATCTATTATATAGTCATTTTTATAAATTTACTGTTTGCTAAAGTATGAATTATTCTAAATACTGAGGATTTTCTTATCCCAGACATATAACCTTGGCCGTGTTTGGATGTGGTTTACAGAACAGAGATAATTGTTTAAAAATAAAATGCTCCGCTGGGGCGCAGCTTGATACGACCGCAGAGGTCGAACCCTGAACAGTTGGGGCAAGTATGGACACAACATTCAAGCTTGATACAGCACTGAATTTGGATTGTAATTAAATATTTGACACAGCATAGGTTTCTGACACAGAATGAATGTGGTCTAAGAACTTAAAAAATTTTAATTTACCTATTCAAACCATATCATTATTATTTGCTTTTATATATAAATCAGAAATAACCAATTTAAAATGGAAAATTTTAAAGAAAAAAAAGGAAAAAAAAATCCCCCTCCAAATTTTTTGAACCCCCTTATGATTCATCACCCCCAAACTCAATCCCAGCCTTCCTTTTGTGGTATGGTACCTTGCAGTACAATTTCAGAGAGATCAATACACTTGAACACAAGCTATTGTCTGGAAACTAGAAAAATGCTCATTTTTGGCCCCTTTTTGGCTCCTTATTCCTTAACGTTTTGGGCAATTACCCCCAAACTCAATTCCAGCTTTCCCTTTGTGATATGGAACCTTGTAGTACAATTTCATAAAGATCCATACACTTACACACAAGTTATTGTCATGAAACTAGAAAAATGCTTGTTTTTTGCCCCTTTTTGGCCCCTAATTCCTAAAATTTGGAGGCAATAACCCCCAAAATCAATCCCAGCATTCCCTTTGATGTATGGAACCTTTTGGTACAATGTCAGAGAGATCCATACACTTACACACAAGTTATTGTCATGAAACTAGAAAAATGCTTGTTTTTTATGCCCCTTTTTTGGCCCCTAATTCCTAAAATTTGGAAGCAATTACCCCCGAAATCAATCCCAGCATTCCCTTTGTGATATGAAACTTTGTGGTACAATGTCAGAGAGATCCATACACTAACACACAAGTTATGTCTGGAAGTTACAAAAATGCTTATTTTTGGCCCCTTTTTCCTTAACTGTTGGTACCATAACCCCAAAATCAATCCCCACCTTCCTTTTGTGGTATTGAACCTTATGGTAAAATTTCATAGAGATCCATTCACTTAAACTAAAGTTAGAGTGCGAAAACCAATGTGTCTTCGGACGACCATGACGACAACGACGCCAACGTCATACCAATATACGACCACAAAATTTTTTTGGGGTCGTATAAATAGGTATTAAAAGTACCGGATAGCGTTTCATTGTTTACATTGAATATGACGTCATAATATAACTAACGTCACAACTAAAATTCCGAACAACAGAACCGAAATCGGAAACGTAAGGGTATTTCCGTTCTTTTTGAACAGATTTTGAAGTTAAAACATATGTTTGAATTTAAAAAAAATAATTCATACAGACTTCGTCCCCTTTCACAGGTAACGCCTGCCTGATATTATATTATCCCGATTTTAATACCTTAAGACTAAATAAACAAAAGGCAATTATGGTAATCAGTTGCCGAGTTGGCCATCCCAATGATTGACGTTAAAAAAAAACGATATTAAACTTTCTTTGATTCAAATTCGAAGTTCTGACGTTAACTGTTAAATTGGCAGTGCATCATTCGAAGTGTGCAACATCAGCGTACTTATATCTGCCTTAGACTCTTTATTTGTGCAAAATAACGTTGTCAACAACTTTACTTTCGTTTTTATACCGGATGTTATCTTGACAATGGTAAAACATGGACCAGAGACGGATACGTAAATTCCGTGTACGTTTGCAAAGCGTGAATGAGTGGAAGTAGCTCTTTCTACGTTATTTCTTCAAGAAAATATTCGAAATAAACGTGAGATAAAGGTATCAATGACAATTTAAGCATTTTTTGAAGAAATTAGGATGCATAATTAAATTTCACACCTGCGCACATGCGCACACGTGTACTACTTCAAACAGAGACATGTCTCTAGGTTCAAACAACGTGGTTATGACGATTTTTCATTTTCACCTTTTTAATTTTTTCATCAAATCATATTTGTAAACGTATTTCTGATAATTTAAATCTTTTTGACTAAAGTAATTAGATGCAAACCGCTGAAATGTAAGAAAATAACTTTGAATAGACCTGTCACCTGAAAAGGTAAATTTCAGCTGTTTGACAACTAATTAGCCTTGATTAAAATGAGAAGGTATTAAAGTAGGGGTTGTTTTGATAGTACTTAATGATCATGTCACTTTTATGACCGGAAATGTGTGGCTGTTAAAAAGATCGCGAATTATGTTAAAAATATAAAATGACCGTCTCTTAAAGCCTTGAAAACTAAAAAGTAGATGACCGTTTCATGCTTTGCCCAGCCGGACTTTTACCGGACATTATACAAATGTCCGGCATATATGACCGTTTTGGAAGCCTTGGCCATATCATTATTATTTGCTTTTATATATAAATCAGAAATAACCAATTTAAAATGGAAAAATCCCCCCCCCCAAATTTTTTTTAACCCCCTTATGATTCATCACCCCCAAACTCAATTCCAGCCTTCCCTTTGTGGTATGGTACCTTGCAGTACAATTTCAGAGAGATCCATACACTTGAACACAAGTTATTGTCATGAAACTAGAAAAATGCTTATTTTTTGCCCCTTTTTGGCCCCTTATTCCCAAAATTTGGAGGCAATTACCCCCAAAATTAATCCCAGCATTCCCTTTGTGATATGGAACCTTGTGGTACAATGTCAGAGAGATCCATACACTAACAAACAAGTTATGTCTGGAAGTTACAAAAATGCTTATTTTTGGCCCCTTTTTGGCCCCTAATTCCTTAACTGTTGGTACCATAACCGCCAATATCAATCCCCACTTTCCTTTTGTGGTATTGAACCTTATGGTAAAATTTCATAGAGATCCATTCACTTAAACTAAAGTTAGAGTGCGAAAGCCAATGTGTCTTCGGACGATGACGCCGGACGACGACGCCAACGTCATACCAATATACGACCGCAAAATTTTTTTGCGGTCGTATAAAAAGGTGCGAATGTGTAGGGTGCGAACATGAAAGTGGGTGAATGTGAATGGGAGCGAACATGTTTTTTGGCGAACAGACCCAGATTCACAAAATCATTGCTATATGGAAAATAAATTGTGCAAATGCTTTATGTGATCGATTTTTTGTAAAACATGGATAAATAGTGAAAGTCAATATCCTAATATACTGTAACTATCCTGCATTTTAAGAAACAGATTTTTTTCAGTCTGTCTTGTGCAAAGTTATTTATTTGCAGTTCTAACAAGGTCAATTACTGGTACACCACTATTTTCACTTATGTACACATTTGTATCCTCAACCATCATGACCATCCTGCATTTGATGTTGCAGAATAATCATTTTCATCCTGTCTTGTGAAAAGTCATTTATTGTTAGTTCTTACCCGCCCCCAGTCCCAAGAATATCAGATGGTCGTCCCCTAAGAGCAAATAAATCATGATTTCCCAAAAGTATAATGATGTACATGTACATATATCATGTATATAACTGTCATACATGTATATATAAAACAAGTATCAATAACCTTTCATTGGGAGCTCATCATGTCTTATCAAAATAATGAACATGGTTGTGTTTACTTAGCAATATTAATGGCCTGGACAGGATTTCCTAGGAAATTTAGTCTGGGCACATAAATTTTATTAAAAGATTAATGCACAACTGTTTTAAAAACAACATTAAAACATAAGAATTAAATATTCCATTGTTTACATGTACATGTAAATGATTTCTTTTATTACACATTTTCCTATTAAAATAAAGGACATGGACGTTTTTACCTAGGAATATTGATGACATGGACATAAATTCCTAGGAAAATGAGTCTGGGGACAGTGGCGGATCCAAAAATTTTCATAAGGGGGGCCCACTGACTGTCTAAGAGGGGGCCCGCTCCAGTCATGCTTCAGTGATTCCCTATATAAGCAACCATATTTTTTTCTCCAAAAGAGGGGGCCCGGGCCCCCTGAAAAACCCTCTAAATCCGCCTCTGTGGGGACATAAATTACTGACATTGGACTAAATATACTAGTAAATTCTGTAACCGCCCAGACACATTTTATCGAATCCGGGTCCGTTCGCGCCCAATCACGTTCGCCCCCTTTCACTTTCGCACCCTACACGTTCGCACCCAAAGTCCGTTCGCACCCTACACGTTCGCGCCCAATTTTTATTGGTTTTGTGTTTAATAATTTGTAAACGAGTTTTGGTAAGTGTATTGCTATAAATATATATTTTTTCATTGTTTCTAAATAAAGTGAGATTCTGACAAGGTTTTTTTTTGTGTCATGGTAAATGTATTGCTATAAACATTTTTTTTTCATTGTTTTCAAATAAAGTGAGATTCTGACGACCAGTATTTTGTTTTTGTGTTGAATAATTTTTAATCATATTTAGGTAAGTGTATTTCTCTATATATATATATATCTATCTATATATAATATATATAGAATCATATGCAAAACGGTGTAGCCGAGACCATTGATTGGCGCGCTAAAATATTCCATTGACTGGGTCAGATTAGGTGAATGTTCGTCTGTAACGCCCACAACTCATGACGTATTTATTATAGACATTTAAAGTGTGGGGTCACCAAAGGGTCTCAACGCCTAAATAAAATAATTCGAAAAACTAATCAGGAATAACCTTTGTGTTTTGATTTATATTGAATACTTAAACGTTCTTTACTTGTGTTTTCGTTATGTTTTGATAATCAATTTTTATGATATCGCACGTTCTTTCAGCAAAAAAAAAGGATTTAAATGGCTTTAAAAGTTAAAACGCATGTGTTGATTATTATCTTTTTTTTCGGACGTCAAAGCGATTTAACAATTGCGGTTGTCCAATTATGTCATCTTTTAACTTTTATCAGGTCAAAATTTTATTTTAGAACGAATGCACGATCAACTTTAAAAAGTGTGCAAACACAAAACATATAGACTAAATATACTTCTTTCTTGTCTTTTTCGTACTTGCAAGTTATTAGACAGTAAAAAGGCTATTTGGATCAAGCCTTGTGAAATTTGCATTTATGTTTTTGAATAGGTAAAATGTATAGTTTGGTGAACTTTTCTGCTAACTACTATACTTGTGAAAAATCCTTGGCAACAGAAACATATTCAGCTTTTTTTTTAATCGACCCAATTTACATAGTAATGGACAACTTCGTACATTTTATGATCGCAAATAAAATATGTATATAATATACTGTGCACTGTAGTTCGTATATATACTGAGACCCTTTGGCAACCCCACAGTTTAAATGTTTATAATAAATACGTCGTGAGTTGTGGGCGTTACAGACGAACGTTCACCTAATCTGACCCAGTCAATGGGATATTTTAGCGCGCCAATCAATGGTCTCTCAATACACTGTTTTGCACGATTCTAAATTATTTTTTTCATTGTTTCTAAATAAAGTGAGATTCTGACAACGTTTTTTTAGGTGTTGATAAAATCTTAATAATGTTTTGGTTAGTGTATTGCTATAAATATTTCTTTTTTATTGTTTCAAAAGGAAATGGGATTCTGACAACGTTTTTTTTTTATGTGTTGAATAATTCGTAATCATGTTTTGGATAGTGTATTGCTATAAATATTTTTCTTCATTGTTTATGAATAAAGTGAGATTCTGACACACATGAGACCAAAGGAGCCAAGCTGTTAAAACAATTATCTTTCATGTTTTTTTATTTAAAATCTTCAAAGTTTTACTCATACCAAGCTAAATACATGCAGTATTTACATTTAAAGCAAGTTAAAACAACCATGACAACAATCATGATTTTTAAACACTCAACAATAACATCATATTAGGCTGTGTATAAATACCAATTAGCAGTAATCATACATAATTAACATTTGATAATTAATCATCAGATCAATTTAAAACAATATTTCATTTAAAAATTCCCCAATTTTAATTTATGAAAATTAAAATATTTTGATATAAACATCTACAAAACATCTAAAAATTTATCAGGTTTTTGAATATAAAAAAGGGTGCGAACGGACCTAGGGGGCGAACGTGTGGGGTGCGAACGTGTATTGGGCGCGAACGGACCCGATACCCATTTTACCAGGACTAATTATCACTTACATACGCCCTCACCTGAACCCGCCCCTGAATTTTACAAAGACTAGAAAAGAGATCTTGTGAATATGATCATACATATAGATACATTTACATGTATGTCTCTGATATGTTATCATCACGTACCTTTACTTTTTTATTTTGTGCACATTTTCCCTCTTCCCTTTCCTGGTGAAGAACTGCGGAAGTGGTTAACGTGCTACTGGAAAATTTTGTTTTCTTGCATATAAAAGACTGAAATAAACGGTGCTTAGAATTTCGAAGAAGGCAAGAAATGATCATTTTGAGATTTGTTGTTTTATAACAGCAGGAAGTTTACATGTCTATTCTAATTTTAAAAACAGTTCCAGGTAGACACGTAAGGGAAACCATTTTCTGTTTTACTCAATCTGATCTACTCACAGTGGTGAACACTCTTCCAATCGAGTTATTATTTGAAAAGAAAAGGGGAACAAAATGTAAACAACTTTTTAAGATAGCTTACAAAATAAATGCTATTGAGAAATGCATAAAAATAACTTTTATTTGCGGATAGATATACATTGTTTTTCCGTTATGAACTTTTTTTAGGCAACTCTATAAATTACCGGAAGCACGTGTTTCTCATGTTGACAAACATCAGATTTTTTCTTCATGCTTCACGTTCAGGAATAACTAATTACCGTTAGTTTATAATTATATTATGTTATTATTTTCTCTCATGTACAATCTGTTTTAAACCAAATATCTGGAAAATGATATGACTAAAACAGTTTAGACAATAACAAAACATAGTCATAGATCGATGTCTGAAGACTGAACTGCTGAAGGAACTGCACCCACAGGCACTTGTTTTCTATCACATGAGTTTGAAATCTTAGCAATGACTGTGTATAAATATGTCAATCTCGACTATCACAGTAGAGCTGCTCTCGAAGAGTCGCCTCTCTTCGAGAGCAGCTCTACTGTGATAGTCGAGTTTGTCGCCTCTCTAGCTAGCTGCATCTCTTCGAGAGCAGCTCTACTGTGATAGTCGAGTTTGACATATTTATACACCGTCATTGCTGAGATTTCAAACTCCAGTGTTTCTATCCATGGCAAGATCTACTGTACCTAAGATATATAGGGATAGTAGATCTTGCCATGGATAGAAAACAAGTGACTGTACCTTTAACCTAATGTTAGTGTAATAGTCCTAGGGCAATTAATATGAAACAGGTCTTACCTGTGAAAGAGGCGAGATGCATCAAATATTTTTAAATTTTACAAATTATGACATTTAAAACAAATAACTATCATGTAAAAACAATCCGTAACTGTTGATATGATAATAACCTACATGCTTTTATGTCGATCCAGGCACAAGTTGTTCTGGTCAAAGTAGATCACACTCAAATTTAAATTGAATCGGGGACCAGTTTTAATTTTTTACAATAGAAAAAAATTAGGCATTGGCTATTTTGCCGGCTCCGACAAAATAGCCTCTAAGGTGCTATTTTACCAGCTAAAAAAAAAATAGCCTCCTTGGTACAGCAAAATAGCGATTTATATAGAGTTTTGCTATTTTGCTGGTCTTATTTCCAGGGGCGGATCCAGGATTTTAGGTTAGGGGGGCACAAACTTAAGTTTTTCGCCTCACTCCGCTCATTCAAAAAAAAATTTCATTGGATATATAGCAGTTTGACAAACACAAATTTTGATCATTAAGAAGCTTAGTATTTCCTTTTAATACAACAGAATATGATTAAAATGTTCAGCTGATTTTTACAGAGTTATCTCATTGTAGTGTTATGTACCACCTTAAGCTGAGGACAACCCATGCTTTGCAAATTTTAGGGGGGGGGGGGGGGCGCACGCCCCCGACTGAATCTGCCCCTGATTTCAGATTTTTAATCAGACTGTATGAAATAAAAACTTTATTTAAACTATTTATGCACAAATGATATAATATGTTGCTAGATGTTAATAACCTTTTAGTCTTCGCTTTGCTTTCAGGGTCTGGTTTATTCACTTTTGGTGAACATTACATGTATGCAGACGTTAATATCTGTTGAATATTGATGTTCGAAAATGGAAGACGACAATTTGTTATCAAAGTAATAGCGCTAGGATGTTTTTAGTCCCCAACCGACGAGTCGAAGGGGACTTTAGGTTTGCACTCCGTCTGTCTGTTAGTCCGTCTGTCTGTCCATCCGTCAGTCTGGCAAATCAGTTTTCCACACTTTTTTTCTTCGTTCTTGAAGATATTGATTTGATATTTGGTATATAGTTTTATCATGGCAAGTTATAGATCAAGTTCGAATTTTGTTCCGGTCTGATGATTTAGTCCAGAGTTATCATGGTCCATATCTAATGTTAGAGTACTACATTTTGTATGTTATACCATATCTCTGTACAAAGGTAGGTTAACTCATTTTTTAAAAGACATTTTTATAAGTGTTTATAACATTTTCTTGATATTTTTCCCTTGTGCTTCGTTTTTTTTGGTTAAAAGACAAAGATTCCATCTAAAAACAACTACATACATGCAGAAATTATCTTTTGCTTGATGAGCCTGTCAGTTTTTACAGTTTATTTAAAATATGCATAACTTGGAATAATTTGTAGATCATGATCAGGACATAACCTTGAAGTAGATCATTCTAACTCTAAAGAAGACCAATCAGGTTACTTAAAATTGATGACCTTTGTCTGATTGTAAGAGTAGTTATTGTTAATGAATATATTTGATTACAGAAAAAATCCAAGGGTACTTTTAAAAGCTTTAGCACACTAACTTACTGTCCAAGCACACTGGTGAAATTAATGTACAAGAGAAAAGGATAATAGATCTATGTAGGAAAATTAAAGAAATGTTTGTCAAAATATTGAAAATTAATGAGATTAGCATTTGAAGATCAAAGGAAACACCAAAATCACTTAACTAGGTGATAACTGAATTTATCAAATCACTGAAATAGGTGATAATGAAATCACTTGTATTTAGTAGTACCCCTGACTGATTAAGACCGGCAAAATAGCAAAACTCAATATAATTCGCTATTTTGCAGGAGCCGGCAATATAAAATTATATATATACATGTGTTACAGGGGTTCAAATTAGGGGTGGTCAGAGGTTTGTGACCTTCCATTTAAGGGTTCAGACCTTCCTGTCACTAGTTAGTTACACCCAACAGGCTTTTGTACTTTTGCAGGTTAAACAAATTTCAAAAGCATTTTGAACAAAAAATATAAAAATCTAGTATAAAAATATTCTTAGAATATGTAAATTTACTGAAAAGAAATTATGTGTTTGCTTAAATTCTTCACAATTGATTTGATGTGACCAGTCAACGTACAAGATTATGTGTTCTTAAGCAGCAATTTAAACCAGAACAATTAAAAGGTACAAAGTGTTATTTAATACAGCATATATATAGCATGTATTATAAGTGTTGGGAAAAGGAGAAGCCTTTTTCTGACTGAATTTATTTTAGAAATTCAGAAAAAAAATGAGGTTGATGTAGTAAGATATGATGAGAGCTTTGGAATTGTAAGCATTTTCTGTTTTTAGAAATTGAATTTTCAATTAAAATTGGACTTTCTAAGAGTGAAGGAGGACATTTTAGTATTTTGTGTCAAAGGTACTGGACCTTCCATTGCTTAAAGTAAATTTGAACCTGGGGTGTATGACTTGTACATGTTGTAATTCATAAATATTAATAATGAATTCTATCAATAATAGCAAAGGTGGACAATCAAAAACTGTGGTGCCTTTAATACATATTCAAATATATACTTTTCATTAGAGGAGACATATATTAAGATTTCATATCAAAATATATTATTTTTTTGATTATCAATGATTATTATAGTTATGATTTATTTGCAAGTTACATCCATATGGGTCAAGCAAAAACACACAAAATATTATAACACAACAGTCAAGAATTGCAAGTTTAAACTTAAAACAAAAACCTATTTATGTTCTAATGTAACTTTTGAAGGACATGGACCTCATTTTTGCAGAGCCACACAAACCCTACCAGAAAAAGGGGATACTAAATGAATAGGCCTACAAATGATTGTGCAGTATAAATATAAGAATAAGAAGATGTTGTATGATTGCCAATGAGACAACTATCCACAAGAGACCAACTATAGGTCACTGTACGGCCTTCAACAATGAGTAAAACCGATACCGCATAGTCATCTATATAAAGCATTTATATGTTGATTATGATTTTATTAGATGTTATCAAAGCATGATTATGGACAAAGATCAAAGGGTATTACTATATACATGTACATATATATAATTTTCAAACATTTTTTAGATTTATCATGGATGATCAAAGCCAAGATAACATAGACAAGTCTGAAACTGACGAATATTTCAAAAGTTATGGAGATATTTCTGTTCATGAACTTATGTTGAGAGATAAACCAAGAACTGCTGCTTACCAAAAGTTTATGCAACAAAACAGCCATTTGTTGAAAGATAAAATTGTTTTAGATGTTGGATCAGGAACTGGTATCCTGTCACTGTTTGCTGCTTCAGCTGGAGCAAAGCAGGTAAACAGTTTGTTTTTACCAGTTAACTCAAATATATCCTGCTTTGCAAGTTTTGCACAAAACAGTGTACTTATATTTTAATGTTCAATTAAAAATCAGTCATCGCTGGTCATAAATGATTGCTTCTTCTTCTTTATGTTTTTATAAAACAGGTGGCTTCTCATAATAGTATTGAATTACTCCATTATACATGTAGGATATCATGTAACATCTGGTACATGAAACATGATCATTTTTATACGACCGCAAAAAATTTTTGCCGTCGTATATTGGTATGACATTGGCGTCGTCGTCATCAGAAGACACATTGCTTTTCGCACTCTAACTTTAGTTTAAGTGAATGGATCTCTTTGAAATTTTACCATAAGGTTCAATACCACAAAAGAAAGGTGGGGATTGATTTTGGGGTTTATGGTACCAACAGTTAAGGAATCAGGGGCCAAAAATAAGCATTTTCTAGTTTCCAGACAATAACTGTGGAAGGGTGTATGGATCTCTCTGAAATTATACTACAAGTTTCCATACCTCAAAGGGATGGTTAGGATTTGCTTTGAGGGGTTATGGCTCAAACCGTTTAGGAATTAGGGGCAAAAAAGGGGAAAAACAAGGTTGTCCTGGTTAATGGACAAATACTTTAGTACAAAACATAATTTAAAGCAGTGTAAGGGAGATGAATCAAATACATCATTGAAATTATCTCCCTTACACTGCTTTTAAATTATGTATAAAGTAATGGTTAATGAACAATTAAGATAATTTAAAACAGTGTAAGGGAGGTAATCCAAATACAACATTTTGGTTACTTCCCTTACACTGCTTTTAAATTATGTTTAAAGAAATGCATATTTATAAAGGAAGACCAGTAAAAATATCTGCAAATGTTGCATCTTTTTTTTTTACAAAAAAATCCATATGAAAGATTTGGCACTATATTTTAAATTCTATTATAAAATAAATTAAGTTAGCACTATGGTAAATTTAAATGGGTAATTATGGTTGCAAACTCCATTGGAAATTTGAATTGAAATTATGACCATATCTTGAGGGAAAGAATTTTTTTGGGAAAAAAAAGGGGGGGTAAAAAGAAATTGTGGGGGATCAATTTTTTCTAATTTCAGATTTCATAAATTAAAAAGAATTATTCTTCAAATATTATTTTTTTTTTCAAATTTCAAATATTGAAAAATTTCAAGAAGTAATCTTTAATTGCACAGTATGGCGCATTAGATTTGTAAAATCTATGACCACATTTATTTATTTGTTATGCCGAATCTAACCGTGTATTTAGATTTTTAATTTTGGGTCCAGTTTTCAAATTGGTCTACATTAAGGTCCAAAGGGTCCAAAATTAAACTTTGTTTGATTTTAACAAAAATTGAATATATGGGGTTCTTTGATATGCTGAATCTAAACATGTATTTAGATTTTTGATTTTTGGCCCAGTTTTCAAGTTGGTCCAAATTGGGGTCCAAAATTAAACTTTGTTTGATTTCATCAAAAATTGAATTATTGGGGTTCTTTGATATTCCAAATCTAACCGTGTATTTAGATTTTTTATTTGTGGACCCCGCTATCAAATTGGTTCATATTGAGGTCAAAAGGGTCCAAAATTAAACTTTGTTTGATTTCATCAAAAATTGAATTATTGGGGTTCTTTGATAAGCCAAATCTAACCTTATATTTAGATTTTTAATTTTGGGTCCTCTTTATTAAATTGGTCTACATTAAGGTCTAAAGGGTCCAAAATTAAACTTAGTTTCATTTTAACAAAAATTGAATTCTTGGGGTTCTTTGATATGCTGAATCTAAACATGTGTTTAGATTTTTGATTATGGGCCCAGTTTTCAAGTTTGTCCAAGTTGGGGTCCAAAATTAAACTTTGTTTGATTTCAACAAAAATTGAATATATGGGGTTCTTTGATATGCTGAATCTAACCATGTATTAAGATTTTAGTTTTTTGGCCCAGTTTTCAAGTTGGTCCAAATTGGGGTCCAAAATTAAACTTTGTTTGATTTCATCAAAAATTGAATTATTGGGGTTCTTTGATATGCCAAATCTAACCGTGTTTTTAGATTTCTAATTTATGGTCCCGTTTTTTAAATTGGTCTACATTAAGGTCTAAAGGGTCCAAACTTAAACTTAGTTTGATTTTAACAAAAATTGAATTCTTAGGGTTCTTTGATATGCTGAATCTAAACATGTGTATAGATTTTTGATTATGGGCCCAGTTTTCAAGTTGGTCCAAGTTGGGGTCCAAAATTAAACTTTGTTTGATTTCAACAAAAATTGAATATATGGGGTTCTTTGATATGCTGAATCTAACCATGTATTTAGATTTTTTATTTGTGGGCCCCGCTATCAAATTGGTTCATATTGAGGTCAAAAGGGACCAAAATTAAACTTTGTTTGATTTCATCAAAAATTGAATTATTGGGGTTCTTTGATATTCCAAATCTAACCGTGTATTTAGATTTTTAATTTTGGGTCCCATTTTTTAAATTGGTCTACATTAAGGTCCAAAGGGTCCAAAATTAAACTTAGTTTGATTTTAACAAAAATTGAATTCTTGGGGTTCTTTGATATGCTGAATCTGAACATGTGTTTAGATTTTTGATTATGGGCCCAGTTTTCAAGTTTGTCCAAGTTGGGGTCCAAAATTAAACTTTGTTTGATTTCAACAAAAATTGAATATATGGGTTATATGGGGTTCTCTGATATGCTGAATCTAACCATGTATTTTGATTTTGGACATTGGACCATAGTAGGTAAATTAAAAAAATTCAAGTTCTTAGACCACATTCTTTCTGTGTCAGAAACCTATGCTGTGTCAAATATTTAATCACAATCCAAATTCAGAGCTGTATCAAGCTTGAATGTTGTGTCCATACTTGCCCCAACTGTTCAGGGTTCGACCTCTGCGGTCGTATCAAGCTGCGCCCAGCGAAGCATTTTATTGTAAATTTTGGAGAGTCTTTAACATGTTAATTGAAATCTAATTGAAAATAACAACTTGATTCTGGAGAAGCTTTATAAAATATTTCATTATTTTTTAACCCTCTTTCCATATGCTGAATAACATTGCTTAATAATCCCATTTTAAGCTTTTTAATCTCTAACCAATCCCCATATATACACGTGCACACCCACAAAAGGAACAAGTTAAAGCTTTATCATTCTGACAACAATATTTTTCACCCTTTGAAATTTCAATTTACTGAAAAAAGACAATTATTCTAAAATGAAACCAGCACAACTTATTTTAAAATGGAAATGCATGAGAAAAATTTAACCTGAACAACAAAAGTTTAAAAAGTATAATTGTTGTTTTATAATAAATCTTTAATTATTTCAGTCTAATAATCTGCAGTCAATAGACAGACAAAGGGAGATCATTTAAATTATGAAATTCATCTAAACTACAAAGACTTTAAGAGGCCTGAGATCACAGTTATTTTGTAGTGCATTTCTTTTGGAGAATAAATGCAAATTAAAACAATTGCACCTGCTCCAACTCAATAAGACTTTTACAGTGTAGTGTACTACTTTTAGGACAAATTATATCAAAATTATAATAAACTCCATTAGCTCAAACTCAAAATATGGACAATCTTCTGTTTAGGCAGTCTATAATTCAATTTGACTGCTTCAACTAAACTAATTTTTGACCTTTTTCAACTGGACCAATTCTCACTCCCCCTTACTTACTGTTTTTTGCATTGAAATATATATGTAAGAGGAGCATAAGGTCCCCATGGAAATATTGAAAAGTTGGCAGGTATGAGCAAATCTAGGTTATTCAGCACTTGTTTAGTTGCTTAAAAAATTTAGTCGAATTCAAGGAAAGTATGAAAAGGTTTAGTGGCAAATGTTGTCAAATAGCAGTTGCTTGGAGTTTTTGTAGTCTTAATCAGGTTTCTAATTACAAAAGCACCCCAGCTCACCCATGAGCACAAATGTCAGGTGTAGAGTTTCTGATGTGTAGATGGGGAAATATCCAAGAGTCCAGATGCATCAATAATTGCCTTTAAAGTAATTTAATAGTTGAGTTATATTGAAGTAAATGTAATTAAATGTTATCATACATATTTTTCAGGTATTTGCTATTGAAGCTAGTTCAATAGCTGATTTAAGTCAGAGTATTATTGAGGAAAACAAAATGGAGGATAAAGTGAAGGTCATCAAGGGAAAGATTGAAGAAGTCAGTTTACCTGTTGACAAAGTGGACATTATCATATCAGAATGGATGGGGTTTTATCTGCTTCATGAATCCATGTTGGATTCCGTAATATTTGCTCGTGACAAATATTTGGCCGAAGATGGTCTTATGATTCCATCAGATGCTATCTTGTACATGACACCAGTGAACATGTCTTCTTATGTTGCTGAAAACATTTTGTTCTGGGACAATATTTATGGCTATAATTTTTCTTCAGTAAAATATGCAGTACTAGGGAATAAAATGTGTGAGCCTACTATAACATGTATTGAACAATCACAATGTGTGGCTGAACCTGAAATTTTCTGTGAACTTGATTTAAAAACTGTCATTATGAAAGATATTCAAAATATTAATCAGACATTATCATACACATTCACCAAACCAGGACTTGTACATGGATTTGCCAGTTGGTTTGATGTAGAGTTTAAAGGTCCTATGGCAGCATCCCCTGATCAAGGGACAAAAATAGTCACTTTAAGTACTTCCCCAGCTACACTCCAAACGCATTGGAAGCAGACTGTTATTTTTCTGCCAGCTTCCATGACAGTAGATGAAGGTGATCAGATCACTGCCATTATAGATCTGTCACAAGATGAAGGTAATAAAAGACATTACAATATATCTGTAGAAATTATAGGGGAAGAGGACGAAGAATCAAGTTCTGAAGAAGATGTGTCTAATCATCCAGTTCCATGTAATTGTGGAGCAACACGTTGTATGCTTGTTCAAGCACTAGTCGAAAAATATGATGAAGAACAAAATGAACTTGAAAAAGAGGCTGAGAAAGTGGATGTTAATGCAGAAGTTGAAGCAGCCAGAGTAATTGATCGAGAAATGACTGCCAATGCTGATATTAATTTGAATGAAACATTTTAATAAGAACTATACAGATATCTTTATATGTGATATAGATTAATGATGTAGCAATTACAAATTTATTGATTTAAAAGTTTTGATTTTGTGTTTGGTAGAATGAAAATGTTGGTACTAGCTATAAAGGATAACTGTGCATGTACAGGCACAGGACGTTTGCGTTTTTTTACCTGTAACACGATAGGACATTTGTGCTCCAAACACTATGGACATTTGCGCTTTAAATTTTGATACACCTGTAGTAAATTGACAGGACATTTGCGCTTTTCACCTTTATTTGTCTACCTGTAATTTTAATGAGTTACGTGAATAAATTCAACTTGTTTTTGTCGTTAGTTAGTTCACATTGACACAGTCTTAAACATAGAGTATAAAGTTGTAGAGACAAGTAAAAGAAAAAAAATGTATATGTCATGATGGATTTTTATCATTGAACAACAGTCGGTTAATTACATTAAAATTCATTTTATTGATGAACAGGCATATCAGTCAAGAATTGAGAAATAGAGACTAGAATATGTATTTGAAATAAGGGAGAATTACCAGTCAGAACAGATTACAAGAGCAAAATTGTTCATTCCTTGGGCTTCAGATATCAAGCGAAAATTGACATGTGATAACTACATGTACATTGTATGCGTGTATTTGATGTCTTTATAATGTTTACTTTTAGGTTTATATAACTATATCAATGTGCTATGAAATTACTTTTAAACGCGAATGTCCTATGGAATGACTATTAAACATTTAACCATTAAGAAAATATTGTAAAAGCACAAATGTCCTATAATAAAAGCGTAAATGTCCATATTTAAAAAGCACAAATGTCCAATGAATTGAAGCGCAAATGTCCATTAAAGAAAGCACAAATGTCTTATGGAAAAGCGCAAACATCCCGCGCCTATGTCATTGTCATGATTTTTGTAAGCAAACATTTCCTCTTCTAGTTATTTTGTTATATCTAATTATCATGACTTCTTCATACTTTAGTTAGAAAAAACAATTATACTCTGACAATAAGTCAGGACACTTAGTTAAAAGATTTGAGAAGACTAAATTTTTGTGACCTATTTTTCATACGACAGCAAAAATATTTTGGGGTTGTATATTGCTATCACATCATCGTTGTCTGTGTCGTTTTTTTGGTTTTCAGACAATAACTTTAGTTTAAGTGTATGAATCCCTATGAAATTTAAGCAAAAGGTTTAATACCACAGAAGGAAGGTCTGGATTGTTTTTGGGGGTGATGGTCCCAACCGTTGACGAATTAGGGGCAAAAAAGGGGCCCAAAACAAGCATTTTTCTAGTTTCAGGACAATGATTATAACTTGTGTATAAGTATTTTGGTTGCTCTGAAATTGTACCACAAGGTTCAATACCACAAGTAGAAGGTTGGGATTCATTTTTGGGGTAATTGCCCAAACTGTTTAGGAATTGGGTGCCAAAAAGGGTCTAAAACAAGCATTTTTCTAGTTTTCTGACAATAACTTGTGTTTTAAGTGTATGGATGTCTCTTAAATTGTACCACATTTTACAAAAAGAAAATTTCTTCAAATGTCAATTTTTTTCCCCCCGATTTAAGAAATTGTCAATTTTCCAAAGAAAAATTGGGGGTCACAATTTATTTTGCTAATTCTTTGTATATAGTCTAAAAACAGATTTACTTAGTATTGCGCAACAGCACAGTGTATTGCACAACAGCAAGATATCTTGAATTGAATATAAATTCAAATCATATAACCAATTTCAAGTTCTTTGACTACATTTATTCTGTGTCAGAAACCTATAATGTGTCAAATATTTAATTACAATCCAAATTCAGACCTGTATCAAGCTTGAATATTATGTCCATTTTTCCCCCAACTGTTCAAGGTTGGACTTCTGCGGTCCTATCCAGCTCGTAAGCAGTTTATTTCTCGTTATGGAGTAATTGTTTATATCATTTTTGCCATCCCTTTGCAACTGTCGCCCTTTGTCCATTCTGATGTCCATTGTCCTGTGTTAACTTGTACAAAGATTTTCTCCTCTAAAATATCTGGACCAATTTCAAACAAACTAGGGCTGAATGATCCTTACATATAGGGTATCTGGTATACAGATTGTGCCCTTTTATTCTTGTCCATCAAGAAACATGGCTGCCATGGCTAGAAATAGAACATATCGGGTAAAATGCAGTTTTTGGCTTATTTCTCAAAAACTGAAGCAGTTAAAGCAAAACTGACATGTTGAAAATGATTAACATGTTAAGATTTATTTGCCACAAAATTTTTTGGCCAATTGAACAACAAAATTTTAAACAGCAAAAATGTTCAGCAAGTTTTGATCTACAAAAACGTGAAACTGACCGAAATTGTAAATTGATCCCTTATAGTAGTTATTGCCTTTGAAAGACAATTTTAATTAAATTTAAAAGTTACAGTTTTTTGCATAAACTAGGCTAGATAGAGAGAAATTTTAAACATTGTTGAAATCCGTACGGACAGTGGTCTCTTTAAACAGTTCCAAAGACAGTAGAGTCCCAGTAGTCTTCAAAGTTGATCAAATAATGTACCATTCCTTGGTTGTAGGCAGTTCATTTATTAGGTTTGAGTTGTCTTTGGGCTTTGATTTTTTATACCTGGGCATGACTGGTTATCATTTTGAAGTTTGGGAAAAGTACCTGTAATGCATGAATAATGAAAAGATACCATTTTTAGCTCGCATCACTGGGCATCCGTCTTCGTCGTAAAAATTTTCAAAGCTCTTCTTTTAAACTACTAAACCAATTTCAACCAAACTTGGGATTGATGATCCTTAAAGTATCTAGTATGCAGTTTCGTATTTTATTTTTCTGCCATTAACAAACATGGCTGCCATGGCTAAAAATAGAACATAGGGGTGAAATGCAGTTTTTGGCTTCTTCCTCAAAAAGTAAAACAGAGCAAAATTAAAGGGATAAAAATTATCAGCAGGTCAAGATCTATCAATTAGGAAATTTTTCAAAGAATCAGACAAACCAATTTGGAGGTATTGCTTCTGAAATAATTTTTATGAAATTTCTGTTTTTTGTTGTTATCTTCAAAATATTATAGATTATAGATAAAGAAAAATTTTAAACAGCAAAAATGTTCAGTAAAGTTAGGTCTACGGCTAAGTTAAATACATTAATCTATTGCAAAACATGAAACCCCGGCGGGTTAAAATGCAAACATAGTACATAGTTAAAGAACGGAATTCATAAATTGATCCTTTATAGGAGTAATTGCCCTTGAAAGACTATTTTTATTAAACTTCATGATTTTTATTCAGAAACTATGATAGAGTAAAAGTTCAAACAGAAAAAATGTTCAGCAAATTAAGACCTATAAATTAGTCAATATGATCGAAATTTTGTCAATTGATTCCTTATAGGAGTTATTGCCCTTTAAAGATATTTGTACCTTTTTTTTTAGGTTTTCACAGAAACTATAATAGAAAGAAACTACAAAAATGTTCAGCAAATTAAGAGCTACAAATAAGTCAACCATGACAAAGATGTTCAATTGATTCTTTTTAGGAGTTATTGCCCTTGAAAGATAATCTTTATTTTACCAATTTCTTTTTTAGTTTTTCCCAAAATCTATGATAGATAAAGAGAACATTTAAAGGCATGCTTAAAACACATATTAATATACATTAAACAGCAAAATAATCATTGAAGCAAGATTTACACAAACAAATTCTAGGTGAGCAATTCAGGCTCTTATGAGTATCATTTTAGCTCAGCTGGCCCAAAGGCTGATGCAACCTTTTGTCATCGCTACTCCTCTCAAACCACACAACAGAATTTCATGAAACCTTTTCAGATAATAAGGACATACTACGTAGATGTGCATATCGACAGGAAATTACGATTCATTTTTTCCAGGAGTTACGCCCCTTTGAACTTATTTGCCCAATATACTACTGCAACCTTTTGTCATCGCAACTCCTCTCAAACCACACAATAGAATTTCATGAAACCTTTTAAGATAATAAGGACATACTACGTAGATGTGCATATCGACAGGAAATTACAATTCAATTTTTTTTCCAGGAGTTACGCCCCTTTGAACTTATTTGCCCAATATACTACTGCAACCTTTTGTCATCGCAACTCCTCTCAAACCACACAACAGAATTTCATGAAACCTTTTCAGATAATAAGGACATACTACGTAGATGTGCATATCGACAGGAAATTACGATTCAATTTTTTTTCCAGGAGTTACGCCACTTTGAACTTATTTGCCCAATATACTACTGCAACCTTTTGTCATCGCAACTCCTCTCAAACCACACAACAGAATTTCATGAAACCTTTTCAGATGATAAGGACATACTACGTAGGTGTGCATATCGACAGGAAATTACGATTCAATTTTTTTTCCAGGAGTTACGCCCCTTTGAACTTATTTGCCCAATAAACTACTGCAACCTTTTGTCATCGCAACTCCTCTCAAACCACACAACAGAATTTCATGAAACTGTGTAGATAATAAGGACATACTATGAAGATGTGCATATTGACAGGAAATTATGATTCAATTTTTTTTTCTGATACAATTTTTTTTTCTTACACTTATTTTATTTCTCCAATGACAATGTGGGGACGTGGGGTATGTGAGCGCGCTCACTAAGGTTCTTTAATTTGATGACAGCTGGTGAATTAGTGAAATTATCTGGGATTCGCAAGATCTATTTGCCCTGAAGCCGTGTTGCAAGTACTAAAGTATGTTGTTTGATTCAAGGTGTTTCATGATGTTGCTTGCAAGTATGTGCTCTAATAATTTGCAGGAAATACATCTTAATGAGATTGGTCTATAGTTACCAGGATGATGTTTGTCTCCTTTTTTGAAAACTGGTGTTACGTTTGCGTGATTCTAATCATGAGGTACTTTTCCTATTTGTATTGTTTTTGTAAAAATTAGAGTGAGTATGTCTGTGCAAGTGTTAATGTTTTTTTTTAGCACTAATACAGTTATGTTATCTGGTCCTGTTGCTTTTTTAGGATTTATATTTTTAATTAATTTATAGATGCCTTTTCTGTTGATGTCTATATTGTCCATTATTGGATGT